GACGACGTTACAACGTCATCCTCAGGAGTTGTAACGTCGAAGCATGTAGAGTCATCAACCTTTTGAAGGCCATAGATAGGCTTAAATAAAATGTTTTTAATTGTGTACCAGTTTAACGTTGAATATTATTTATGATTTTAACTTTATGCACAAGTGCCAAAATACTATGATTGAAAACTGTATTGTCTATCACCTTTCGTTCTTGCAGCATGTAAATCACATTGGTTGTTAGTATTGCATGATTCATGCAGCATTGACTGTACAGTTTTGCGATCCATGTGCTGATGGACTTCAAAAATTATGATCCAATACCAAAGTCAGCTGTGAAACCACACTACACTATAATATTAGCATTATGAAGGTGCATGTGGAATGTTATATGTGAATTAGTATTTGATTAGATAATGAAGTTGCACGTGTTGACACTTTCATAAAGAGTGAAATGTGTTTTATCAGTCCTTAAGATATTGACAGGCCATTGATCATTTGACTTAAAGTTTTGCCAAGTCAACACGTCATTTTAAACCCTTCTTCTTCGGTGCTTGAACACGATGTAGCCTGTAATGAAACATTCAAAACTGACCGAAGAACCTTACAAACAGCTGAAACTCACAAAATCAGACACTGGGGGACATAATGTATACTGCTACACCCATATGCACTTGTGCTGGCTTGCTCTTCTACAGCATGACTGACCTCAGTGATAGTGTAAATAGATGTCGTTGGTTTGTCTGTACGTGGCTTATCACAAATGCAACCTTTCCCCTTAAATTATTTTAGAATTTACACAAAATAAGTGTGAACAAGGCCATCTGTGGACGCTATGCACTCTCATAGTATTATCTGAGAGCTGTCTCGGCATTGCATCTTTTGGTGTAATAATATTTCACCATTTCACCTCTCTGCACATTTCTCAGTTTTTTGTTGGTTGAATGAGCTGCAACAAGGTCGACAAGCCCATTTATACCCATTAGAAATATATTGTTACGTCTCTGCTCGTTTGATAATTTCCGGTAGAAATTCTTTCCGAGAAACTTCAGCGATACAAGTCCTTTCTTAAATAAAACTAATTTATTCTTTCTCAATACAACTTTGCAATACACTTAATTTTCACAGTCACTTAACCACACGCTATAATTCTCAACGAACGATTCACGCAGATTACTTACTACCGCGTTTGACTCAATTGTCCGTCTATATCTTCAATCTCTCTGTCCGCTATTCAATATCGATTCATTGTCTGGTGCACTTATATACAAGAATAGAGGGCGCCTAGCAAATACTGGATTATTCGTGATGTTCCCCGATTTTCTAGAACTCATTTCGTGTTACCATCGTCACGTGACTTCCGCTGTCGTAACACTATGAAACAAACAATAGTAGCGCCTCTGTTGGCAGCATGTGACAACTGAAGTATTTGCATCCTCATGATATCCTTAATATTTCTGGGCAATTTTTCGTTTCAGGGCCATACAGTTTATGAGATATAACGTGCTGAAGTGCGAAATTTTCACTTTTTCTAATGTAATAATACTTATAAAGAAATAGTTATACAATATTTAGTGCTGTCTTTGATAAATTTAAGATATTTGGCTATTCTTATTATAATGTTACTATTTTATGCAAATACACATAAGCAAAATTTTTTGTAATATGCCGTGATATGAATTTCCATTTTACGTCTGTTAGATTAAGGTATTAAGTTTTGCATATGATAAATCTATAATTCCCTTTTCTTCTGGGCTCTATATACTATTGTACGGAACCATCATGTTTGAAAATTATCTATATGGTAAATTAAATATATATTCATTGTTTTGCAATTACTTTTTCTTACTTGTGCTTATCGTGTATGATGATGTACCCGCCAGTGTCCCGATGGATCAATAAGCAGTGTACGGACTTGCAATGCTAAAATCCGGATTTTGATTCTCCGCGATGCACAGATCATAGATAGCCCATTTTGTGGTTTTGCGCTAAACAAACAAACGAACAAACGTGCCTCCCTTCCAAATATAATTCAAGGCAGGCTTAGCAATATAAAAAAGAAACATGTTTTAGGCTTTAAAAATCAAATGTAAAGCTCAATCTTTAATTCGATTTACCACTTGTCACTGAGTTATAGTGGTTTGGGGGTAATTCCAGCTTTCATCTGTAATCCTGGATGAGGTCAAATCGAAAGAACAAGACTAGGCCTCATACACCGCTGAATTGTACACTATATGTGGGGTGTTTAGTTTGTTTTAAATACTCGAGGGATACCAGTGCTAGCCGTCCCTAATTTACCAGTGATAGACTAGAGGGAAGTCAACACCACCCATCGCCGACTCTTGAGCTACTCTTTTACCAACGAATAGTGGGATTGACCTTAGCGTTATAACACCTTTTAGCAGAAAGGACGAGGATTCGAACCTGCGACCCTCAGATGGCAAGTCGGACGTCCTAACCATCATAATTAAAGAATAGTTTGAACATACGATCTTCTTTAAACTAAAATATAACAAAACTTGGCGATTGATCAACCTATTATTTAATTTCGATATATTTGTCGCCTATACAATTTTAACTATGTATTTCTTTTTCCCTTACAATCAAGCCATGATAGGCCCTTCTTACGGTGTTTTGAGATGTATTTTACTAACACTGTAGGCTTTAGTTCAGAAATTAGGACTGGAAAGTCATGTTCATTAAATCTGTTGAGTATTTATATTTTTGCGTCAGCGAGGTCACGTGACTAGTGTCACGCCACCTATTCTCTAGAAATATCTTGTTCCTTCGTGAATGCCCTAGCATTTACTAGATATATGTTTGTCTGGTATATATATAAGACGCTCACAACGTGACGTGACAATGTGTGTAGGTAGTGAGTAATTGAACTGCAGTCAGAAAGTATTGTTGAAGTTAACGTTCGTTGTTAAAACGTTTGTTATAGAGCGACTGTTGAAAATAAGTGTATCGGTAAAGTTATATTCAGAAAGAATAAACCAGTTTTATTAAGTAAGGACTTGTGTTGCTAAAGTTTCGTCGGAACGAAGTTACGGAAAATCAATTAACGACTGGAGGTGTAACAATATGTATTCGGTGTTGCGGAGAATCTACTCCTCCCCCTATTTTAGCGTGTAAGTCCGTAAGCTTACGACTGACCCACTGGGGGACATTAAACCTACATATAATCGACTTTTTACCTCTCCAAAATGGTAAGCTAGTGACCAATGAGAAGGATTTGCGCAGTAATAATTGATGTAATAATATTTATAAAGAAATAATGTACAACACTCAATGCTCTAACGAGAAGTGAGAATAATAATAAATGTATACAATTTGTTCTCAATAGACAAAAATACATTTTAGCAGGGATTTTTAGTTTCATATTGTATAGTTTTATATGAATTATTTTACTTTTTGATATTTTTACTTGAGCCCTATGTTATATATTGAAGCATCCAATAAGAGAAGAAAAAGGATTGCTAACTGCTTTTTGCTAGCAAAGATTGAAATTAAGATTCAGTTTATTTAACGACTTTAACTATCATTTTTTGCTCTTTTTGTTTTAGAGCAAAACCACATTCGGCTATCTGCTGTATCCATCGCGAGGAATCTAACGCAGTATTTTAGCGTTGTAAGTCCGTAAACTTACCACTGTTCCACGGGGGGAAATTTTAACAATAAAGCTATTTAGTAATTTTTCAACTAAAACAATGACCTTTGAAGGCCATGCTAGTTCATATTTGTTCATCCGATGGAGGGCGTTAACGTGTTATGGATATCGCGGGAACAACGCAAATATATAGTTTACTATAGAGTGTGGTAAGTTACAGTGAAAAACTGTAGGGTGAAAATTAAGACGTGAAGTTTTTGTTTTAATTGTGCAGCGGATGTATTGAGTTACATCAAATTATTATTCAGGTAAGTGTATAATAGTAAATAATTGTGAAGTTTAATGAGTTAGATATGTTGTATTAATAATAATGTCAATTAAGCCAATGGTTCTATTTCACTTTCACTTAACAATAATAACAGCGGTAGTATTGTGCTACTGTAACTTGTAAGCGCAGATAAATTTTCCATCCCAATTCCCCAGTTTTGAAACTTGAACTTAAAATATAAAAATTGAATATTGGTTATATTACTGTTAATATTTTAATACTTATTCATTTAAGTTGGCAATGAAAAACAAAACTGGTTACTACTCAGTACTACTACTAGAGTAGATGCTAGATCTTTGTGGGAACTCAAATGCTTAATTATGTCTTCAAGTTGAACCCAATTCTAATGCTACTAAGTAACTTTTAAAGTAGGCCTACTACAGTACTATTAATATATTGCTATATGATTACAGCTTATTATTAGTATTATTACTAATCTTGCACTATGTAATGTAAACATTATATTCGTTGTATAAACTATAATGGACAGTAGCACTAATATATTACTAATACTAATAGAATGTTTTTGATTTCCTGAATCTAATTCCTAAGACAGCCAACATACTACAACCTTCAACTTCATGTATAAGACATTAAAAAAATTCAAGCTGACATAAGTCACTTTGACTGTCAAGATCACTCATCATTTACAACTCAAGAAAGAAAAATTCATACATATATGTAGCTCTTTATATTCATATATTGTATTATACAGAGTATAGTGTATTTGCCCCTTTAACTGCCCCCATTTTTTTGCAAAGATATAAATCTTTGTCCTGACTAACACTATCAGCTTCATGGTCTTCAAAATGAATGCATATCACATAGAATTACAAGCTAATTCTAACCATCAAATTGATAACTTGCAAACCAGTGCTTGCTGTTAATCTCATGGCATTTAAAAAAAAAACAGTTGTCTGTAAAGCATTTTATGTTTTTATTTCAGTGTTTTTTTTGTTTATTTTAATAATACTAGCAAATACATGCTTATTATGAAATATGTGTGTGGTAAGATATTAGATCATCTATATTTAGAACTAACTGTATTTATATATGTTATGTGATTTGCCATTACTTATGTTTATTGTTTTTATGGTATGTATATACTACTTTAAAATCTGTGAAAGCTTTCACTTAAGTTACAATATTTGATATTGGTGGTTCATTAGGTGCAAAATTTAGCAGCTATTGAGTTAGCCACTATCTGGGGCATGATTGAAGATACCTGTAATTTCTATTTATGTTTTGAAATGTTTAAATGTTTCATTTAAGAAATAATTTTAGGTTTTTATTTTAATCAGTAAGTGGCTTCACGTTAGTGTTGACTCAAATTATGTTATGCCTTCATTATAAAGTGGTATCTCAATAGCACTTCATCATTCATCTTTAAACTTTACATCTTGTCTTAACTGTCCATACTAGTATGTCAGAGAAGAACATAAAGTACTGAGAAATAAATCAAAGAGGAACATAATAATGTACTAAGTACAGTTTCATGTGGCACAAAAAAGTATATTTCAGCATCATGGGAGGACTGTCCACTTCACCATATTACTTTATATAAAACAAGTGGTGTTATAAGTGTCTCCCATGGCCATATGTTAATTTTCTAAGTGTCTGAGGCACTTGTAGGTGAATACAGTCCCTATCTAGTTTCAGGTAATTGTTACTAACTTAACTACAAACCACATCATCATGTAGACCTTTCCACATGCTTAATAAAGCTAAAATTATGGAAGAAAAACATTTTGCCAGAAAATAAGTCTGCATTTCTCAAAACTTAAACTTATTACTCCAAGTGTGCAAGTTCATATTTCCAGCCTTTTGATACCCCCAGTCAAACATCTTATGGAGGAAAAGTTTGCCAAAACCTATAACATTTTTTGAACACCTAAAGCAGGAAGATGCATATAAGTGTTTTATTGGGTTCCATATGTAAAACTTGAAAAAATAATGATTTAAAGTAAAGAAATAATAACATGTGGTCTTATTGTTGTGTAACAGTTTAGTTATGTCTTTAGAACTATACAAATTTAGCTCCTATAACTTGAGATTTACTAATGTGACATTTAATAAAAGCAACTTTAAATTGCTTAAAGGAAAATATACACACATACACACGCATATATATATATATATATCCTCTAGAGAACTAGTTTAGATATCTTACAATGAAGTATTTAAAGCATTTAGAATGAAATAAATGCATTACATTGCTTCCCAATTATATTATAGGTGAAAAGTCAAATTTATAACAAATATGAATCATGAACATAAAAATTGTTTGTTATAAATACAGTGATTGTACCAAATACATTAATGTAATTATGCGTAATCTAGTATAAATTGATTTTTAATTTGTGCATGTTAACTTGAGCTGGGAAATAAAATTGATTAGTTTGTATAATCAATTTCCTATGAGCAATGTTTGCATTGATTATTGTCACAAAAATAATCAAGTACTCAAAATATTACTTAGAGTGATTAATTTATGTTGTTTCTAGTGTTTTATTTTTGCTTTATAGAATGGAAGCATTTTTCAAAGGAGTAAGGCCTGGTACATCTGGACTCAAAGACAAAACTGGAAGTCAGAAAGATGGCTCCAAACCTGGCAGAAAGCAGGCACCTCCTCCTTGGGTTGAAAAATAGTGAGGTTTTCGATAACACTTTTTTATTTGAACTTTTAACATTTTTCTATTCACTCATTTATTATTTTATGTCATTGCTAACTAGTTTGGAACTACTTAAAGTTGTCTTTAGCTATTTGTGATATGGATAATTGCTGCTTGATGTTAAATGTATATATTATATTATAAGTAAAAAGAAATAGTCAAATCAGTTGAGAATTTGTGAAAGTGAATAGCTTTAAAATTTCTTTTAAATATTATGAGTGAATCTATGACAAAAACTATATAACTGATAACTTAAAAACCAATATCCCTTTTATTTTATTTTATGTTGACAACTGTTCAAAAAACAGGGTGACAAAAAGCATTCAGCCCATTGATGTCCCTTTTCCAACTAAATTTTGGTATTCTTATCCATATATTCATATACCCATATAAACTAGAATTCAAGTTACCTCTCCTTTTTCCTTTGGGGTGGGTGGCAAAGCAAAAAGAAAAGTAATTCCTGTAGCAGCTGTTTATGCTTCACAAAGTGTGTTTGGCTGTGTGTGTGTTATATGCTAATATGTGGGATATCTTCAAGTGGTATGTGTGACATATCCACCACTGTAGGATATTTCATTATTATTTATATAATACATGATTCCATGTAATGAATTTATAAATCACCTTCTGTCAGTTTTTGTAGTGTGCTATATGATTAATTATTTTGTACTGTTAGTACTGTTACAATAACCCAGTAGCTTAGGTATTTCATGCTTCAAATTCTATGTACTGAATTTGCATCTGAAGGGTATTTTTCAAGTACTAAAATTTGCTGGTACATGTACTAAGAAGAACCTGTTATTTATTAAATTACTAATTGGAGTCAGTAACAAAATGTTGGTTCAGTTGAGTGTGCAGAGTTGTGATGATTATAGATAAATAAGTCTCTCTTATGGTTCAAGACTTTACTCTCTACTTTTCAGTATCACCCCTATGATTTAACCTTAGAGTATTTCTCCCTCAGCTATAAAATGCTATTGGAACCCCGTTACATGTGAATTCCAAGTTTATAACATTTTTTTGTGAAATACATGCAATACCTGTTTTTGTGCTTTACAGGTTGGCATACACTAATACCAATTCAGATCAATAGGAATCTAATCCAGAATCAAGTAATGGGGTAACAAAATCTGGTGGTACTATAGAGTGTGGTGTACAAAGATATTTACACTGTAGCATGCAGTGTACATAGATACTATCATCTTCATAGTTTTAATGATTCACTAAAACATAATGTTTTGCTGAATAATTTATATCTATCCACATTTTTATTCGGCAAATAATATTAACTTAAGTTGTATGTTCCAAAAGAGTACCTTAAATTTAGGTTATAATTGTGTTAGTTTTGATTGTAGGAATTTACTTCATTCTGATTATATTTGCCCCAAAACATTATGTAATAGTAGTTTGTAATTTATTAGTTTAAAAGTGTTAATTATTATAAATGGCACCATTTTCAATTAAATGAAAGTTAAAACAGTGATTATGATAGCATCTGTGTAGATTGCACGTTATAGTAGCACCCAAAAACTTGTTTTAAAGATACGTTTTGTGGCATTGTATTGCATTATAAAGATTTTTTATTTGTAATTTTGATGTTAGTGTCCATGCAATTAATGTGTGGAATGTTTGATTTAACAAGAAACATCCAAGTGGCATTTATTTAAATAAAATTAAGCATATGTGTGTGTATGTGTATCTTCATGTATTTATCTATTGTACATTTTTAACTGGATTTTAAATAGCAGGTTAAAAAAGCTTAATTACTTCATACCATAGTTACATTGATTTGAAATATATAGAGATTTCAAACATTAAAAAGGAGATGCAAACTTTGCTGGTATATGGTGCTTTGAACAGAAATCAGTATGAATGTTGGGAATATTTGTTAACTTTACTGAAATTTTAATGAAACATGAACAACTTCTGTTACACCTGTTAAACATCCTTTGTACTTAGTCTGATGTGTTTATTATGCATTTTCTTGTCTATGTTTAATAGTGAAAATTCAAAAATATTTTCATACCCAAATGAACAAAGCTTCTTATATAAATCTTTAAAAATATCTAACAGTTTAAACAAGCTACAAGTATGGATAATTCATCTAGTTGTGGTTTATAAATTCATTATGCATTCCACTCTTCAGATGTCTGCTGTGTTTAGAGCAAGTAAATGATGAATAACAAATTTTCTTTCTTTAATTCATAACATCTTATTAATACTAGTAATCATGTGGTAATAATGGTAAGTAATTTTATCAAGTGATATTTCGTGGACTTGCTGTATGTGTTTGACAACCTTTAGCTGTGTGTGATAGTTGAACTTTTTTTAGCTCTGTGGTAAGTTTTCTTTTTGTATAAATGCTGCAATTTGTAATTATAGTAGCTTGAATATTCACCAGTGACAAAGATATCCTGTTAATCAGAAACACAAATAGATTTTCATATGAGCTAAATGACTGTGTCATTCCCAATGTACTTAGAAAATTCCCAGTTATATTAAGAAAAGTTACTACCAAAATAAAATAAGTGTAATACATTGTTATTATAAACTTCAGATTAAAAAGATTTTCATATTAACAAATGATTATAACCTATTTATTTATCTACAGACTATTATTTGACAAAAGTCTGTTTGTGTACTTATAAATGCAGAACTGTTCGACACCAGTTGTCACCAAACTTGGCATGTACCCTTAGGGTCTCCTGGGGAGTGAATTGGAGAGGGTTGGCATTCAGATATGATCCTTCTATGTCTCTCCTTTGAGTTCCTATGTTTAGAGCTGGGAATTTAGTGGAATTTACTAATCCATTAATTGTCATTATTGGTCAATTACATTCAACTTATCGATCAATCTTGAGATGCTTAAAAAAATTGGGATTTGATATTCATGGTGGGAAGAGCTCAGATAATGCATTGTGTAGCTTTGTGCATAACAACAAACAAAACATAATGGCAATATTATGATTAGTTGGAATAATCAAAAGTAGTAATTGAACACTAATTTTTATTAGTTGATTATTTTTTTGTGAAATCAGTCAGTTTCATTGTAACTGAAATTATTGGTTAGTTCAAATAATCAAGAACAGTAATAATTAAAAACACTAGTTGAATGTGTTTGTGAAATTAACTGATTTAATCATAATTTCATTTAATTGATTATTTTACGTGATACTAATTCGATTATATTGACTGATTGAGTTAATAATTTAGTTCTACTTATGGTTCCTCATTCTATTCTTTTTATCTCAACCAAACTTGGTAGGATCCGTTACTCCTTCTGGGGAGTGACATTGAAGGATTAGAATTGCAATCTGACCCCTTAATTCAACCCCTGGAACCTGTATGTCTTCTAAGTGTGTTGAATAGATACATTGTTTTAATCAAATTATATTATGATTTCTCAAATCAACTACATTAATATATGTATTCTTTAGAGCATTGATTTTCAATTATTTTAGATAATAATGTAAAGTGAAAAATAAAGTAACAAAAATATCATATTTGTAAAGAAAAGAAGCCTATTTGGCAAATGTCACTTTCTGTGATTGGTGCTCTCCAGTGGCTCAGTGGTAAGTCTAAAGGCTTATAATGCTAAAAAACTGGGTTTCAGTACCTGTGATGGGTACAACAAAGATAGTCCATTGGGTAGCTTTGTGCTTAAAATAAGCCAACCAATTTTGATTGGTTTGTTCATTATCCATATTTGAGATGCTTTTTTCTTATTGAAAACTTGTAGCTAGAGCATGCTTGTATTTATTGTGTCATGTTTTGACTGTGACATGTGTTATATGAAAATTCATAATAAAAACAGAACTTGAAAACATAGACAAGAGTTTGAATGAACAGATGTGTGACAGTGCTAATTAGACCTACAAAGTTGGAGTGTTTTAATGAGAGAGGGTCAGTTTACCAGTACTTCATTCCAAAACATTGGTTTGAAACCATTCATTTAGAAGACATTCAGTCAAGAATAAGCATGAAGTCTAATGTCATTATTGTCACAGTACATATAGTAAAACCTACAGTTAGGGTTAATCATGGATATCTGACATCTTAAAAATAGATTACTGTGAATTTGTTAAGATGTCCTTTATATTTGGCGTCTTTTAAATGTGATTTTTTCAAATAATAACTAGAAAGAAATTTTTAACTGAGTAAAATCAAGAACGTCATATGTACTTTTTTAGCATTATGAAAAAATGTTATACCATTTATTTTGAGATTGATTTTAGTTCCAGTGGGATTTATTAAACAACATTAAGTAAACTTCTTACACATTTACAGATTGAGAAATACTTTATATTAATAAAGGCTGTTTGATTTTTCATGAGTTTAAAAATAAATTTTGAATACTGGTAGGTAAAACAATATATAAATTCTAGGCATCTGCAGGATTTATTCCAGGTGAGAGCAAGCCATTGTAGAGAGCAGACCATTGCCTTGAAGTTTGAATGTGATGATCTAGCTGATTATGGCTTATTTATGTATGCTTAATTTTGTTGTTTATATTTAATTAGTATTATTTTTTAATACATTTTCATAATATTCAAATAAAATTTTTTCTGAAATTCCAGGGTGGAGGCAAATGCCCCCTTGCCCTATCTTGCAGACACATATGTACATATGTAGTTATATAAAATTCTATTCATGTAGTAATGCTTGTTAAAAATGGAACAACTCAGATCCTTGAACTTTGTTTTAATGCTTGTGCTGTATGCAGTTAAACTCAAAATAAAAATCTTCTGTCATTGAGAAAAAACTGTGTACAACTGTTATATATTTTAATTATTTTTGTTTAGGAGGATTTATGTATGGCATACATACATACATACATAAAAAAGTTGTACACATTTTATAAAATACCCATGAGTGACCTAGGTATCAGTTGATGTGATGATAACAGCTTCTGAACTATAAGGTAAAATGTATAGAAATAAATATTTTATTAAAACAGATTATGGCACTGCCACTTTAGTTTATACAAAAATAACAAGAATATTTGTACATGGTGTGTTGTTGTATTTTCAGTCGACCAAAGACTGTCGATGAAGTTGCATTTCAAGAAGAGGTGGTAACTGTTCTGAAAAAGACACTACAAGGTGCTGATGTAAGTATCTATATTTTTAGTAAACAGTAGCTGTGTTGTGATTGTTAAACTATTATTGGTTTAAGTGAGAACTATACAATGTGAATTTTAAATACCTCAGAAGTGGCATTTGTTTTGAGGTTTAATGTTAAAGCATTATTAAGCAGAAACAACTTTTTACTTGTTTATTTCAAAGGATGGATTTTTTATTCATACAAAAAATCATAAGTTTAATCTTTTGAGAACACTTCAAAACTTTATTTTGTATTATTAACTAAAATGATTGGCTTAGCAATTTTTTCTCTGACCTAGCATTTGTTCAATTTTATCTTTAACTTCTATACAATTTTTTATAATACAGTGCTTGAACTTCTTAAATAACAGAAGCACAAAATGTGCATATGTAATGTATGTTTAGCTGGTGCAATTACAACAAGACCTAGAGTTTACAAAATTAATATTTGAATGTATTTCTGCCAGTTAGGTAGAACTTAGAGGCTTACAGTACTTTGCATATAGATTAACATAAGAATGGAATAAACAACAGAGTTTTGCCCCAATCTGCATTAGTAATTTATTATGTAGCTGTGCAACAATTTGAACAAAATATAAGAATAAGAAAAGTTGCATTTATTTTAAAGGCTTTTAGCTCCACAGCTCACATTTTTGACAATAAATGTTTTTATCAAAAAATGTTATAAACATATTCATAATATGAAAAAATATTGCAAAATTGTATGTATAACTTAGATGTATGTCAGTCTATCAGCATAGTCTATTCAGTTTATGAATTGAAAGTTTAAGCCTTTTTTAATATCCAATCCTTTTGAAATAGTACAGTACTTACTATGAATATATGTAGTTTATTTTTCACATAAGATGAGATTTTGTATAATATTTTATTTGGACATCCATGAATTTAAGTGTTCTTGCACAGTGTTTGTAAAATACATTTGTCTCTTTATGAAGACTTGTTTTTCCAATTAATTTGCACATAGAAATTTCATATTACACTCTGAGTTAGAAAATTATAGAATGTTTATATGATGTTCATAAGTTAAAAATTACTCTTTTTTTCCAGTGTATGTTGTTAACTTACAAAGAGTAGGTTACTCAAGTTCTTTAACAAAGTTTTGGCTCAAAGTTGAGTCTTTGAGTATAGTCTTTTGGTAATAGAGACATGTTTTTTTTTTTGTGAGTCAATCAATCAACCTATTTCATGCTATAAAAACAAAATACTTTAAAACAAAAATTTCACAAAATCTGATGCTAAGTATTTCAGCCAACAGTGGAATAGAACTTTTTCAGAGCTTAAAATACTTGTAGCAGTTTAATAATCACTGCATATTAAACTTTAAAACATAAATTCAATATAAATGTTACCTTTTTTTGTTGCAGTTAATTTCCAAGAAAGTTTATATTTTAATAAAGATGTTATTCATACAATTACTGCTTAGTCCTATTATTTATAGTGGAGTTTTTCATAAGTGCTATGAACATTTAGGATTTCCACAAACCTGAGAAATCAAGAAAGTAAAGAGAATTGGACTGTTGGTTGGGAAATAAATTTGTCCTGTGTTACAAAACATGAAATAAGTAACAACAATGTAGAAGTGAAATGTAGAATTCAAGATGTAAAAATTTATAATCAAATTAATGAAGAAAACATCAAAAGATAGTCTCCATCTAGTGCAGTTGTCAATTTAAAGGTAAGCTTTTTGTGAAAATTCAAACCTTTTTCAATGTACAGCTTTAGCAACGGTAGCTTTTAGAAATGCCGATTGGAGATTGGTGACCCTATAACAAACAAAACAAAAAATTTTATATACATATCTCCAACTAACTGCATTTACAAATTTGTATTGGAGAAAGTTGTAGAAGGTCAGGGAAATGATTATAAAAATTTGTATGGGAACCCTATAACTTTCTTGTCTGGTCTTGTATGGGAAAGAGGAGGCAAGTAACTAAGGTGTTACAATTTTTGGGATAATTTGATTGCTAACACTAATTAATAGTGAAGCAGTGAATCAGATACAAAACAATATTAAAATATTAACTATATTATTGC